GTGGTGGTGTTGTGTGAGTTACTATTTATGTAATATTAGTATTTGAAAAACCCCCCAAAGAAAACAATATGGAACTACTGTGCGAGTTACTAATTCTAAAATACTTGTATTTATAAAGAGAAAAATAATATGAAACTTCTGTGTGAGCTAATATTTCTAAAATACTTGTTTGTTTGTTTTTAAAAGGACAATACGAAATTGCTGTTCATCAGTGATGCCCCGAGTGACATCAGTAGCCTAGTGGTCCGGCTATCGACTCGTAATCTTGAGATTGCGGGTTAGGAGGTTAGAGCCTCAGCTCGGTCCGACGTTACCTCCTTGGGAAAGGCACTTTACACGAATTCCCACTTGGTTCGGTCCTTTCGGAGATGGGCGTTAAACTTGGAAGTCCCGTCACTTGCATAACGTAACAGTGTTGACAGGGGCGGTAAACCTATACCATTTCACAATTTTTTCAGTGATGCCCCGGCTGACATGTACTATGACGAGCGGAACGGCCTGAGCCCCGTGGAGAGGCGCGAAAGGTACGAGAAGGAGCGCCTGGAAGCGGAGATGACGCGCGAAAAAGATGCCAGGAGGGCCAGGCTGCTGGCTGAGAAACTGCGGGACCTGGAGAGGAAGGAGAACAGACTGGTCTTGGGCGGAGAGAAAGTAGAGAGGTGAGGGAGTGAGGAATTGGGAGGGAAGGAGGGGAGGGAGTCGGGAGTGGGTGGGTGTGTGAGGGAGGGGGTGGGTGTGTTGTTGATTGGAGGGAGGGAGGGACTGATTGAGTAAGTGGGTGTCTGGGTGGAGAGGAAGGAGAACATGCTGGTCCTGGGTGGCAAGAATGTGGAGAGGGGAGGGAGGGAGGAAGTGGGTGGGTGAGGGAGGGAGTGAATGAGTGGGGAGTGATTGAATGCATGGGTGAGTGAGTGAGTGAGTGAATATGTGAATGAGTGAGTGAGTGAGTTAGTGAGTGAGTGAGTGAGTGAGTGAGTGAGTATTATTGTTTTACATCCCATTCAAACCCTGTTGCCCTCGTGCACCTCACATTCTCGCTCAGTGTACAATTTTACACCTCATTCAAACCCTTCTCCCATCTTCCACCTTGTCATGCACTGTGATTTTAAGCCAGACTCAAACACATCTTTCCCTTGTCTTTTCCATCTTCTCACCCAGTGTATGATTTTACACCACAATCAAACCCCCTAGACCCCTCGTCCACATCACCGCCTCATCCAGTGTGTAATTTAACACTACATTCAAACCATCCTCCCTTTTATGTCCACCTCACCATCTCATCCAGTTTATGATTTTACGCCACAATCAAACCTTTCTCCCCTCTTCCAGCATTGTCTTACATCACATTCAACCCCCCCGACCCGTCCACCTTCTCACCCAGTGTATGATTTTACGCCACATTCAAACCCTGCTCCTCCCCTTTCATTTTTCATCCACTGTGATTTTACGCCACTTTCAAACCTTGCTTCTCTTTCACCTTTCCATCCACTGTGATTTTACGCCACATTCAAACCCTCCTCCTCCTCCCCAGCCGCCGCCGCGTGAATCCCGGCTGCGTGAGAAGCTGTGACGGTTTGACCACAGGCCGTTACCCATCGTGCCGAGGCTGCAACTACTTCGTCATCTGCACCATCCGAGGCCGGTTCCGGGAGAGGAAGTGCTCTCACAACCACGAGTTTGACATCCTCCGGGAACGGTGTCGCAAACACTCGCACTCGTGCATCCTGGAGTAAACACTGGCTCACGCTCTACAACTACAGACCGGTGGCCACTTGAATGATGGCAGGGTTTCTCTGACCCTCTACGTAAACGTTATATAAGATGCCTTATCTACAAACAAAGTCTTTATATTTTTGAAAAGATGTTATGTTTTACGAAAGTATGTTTTATTCATTTAACTCATGAAAACGCAACGGACCAATTATTATGTTCTGTCCGATCAGCAACATACCAAAAGCAAAGTTGCAGCACATTTCCAACCATCATACACAAATCAGAAACGCAAATTTGCATATTTAATCATATGCATGTTGTTACCTGACTTTTTAAAATTTCAGATAAAGCAAATAGAATCGACAAATCTGTATGAATAAGGAAGATAATAATAAATAAAATATTTTTTTTTCTTAAAAGTACCCCGAAGAACGCGCATTTAATTAAGCGTGATCGAAGGACCAGATGGCGCGCCCTCAGTGAGTTAAACTGCCTTCAAGTTGGTTTGTGCTGACCGAATGTCAACCCCATGTATATCAACATAAATACCTAAGCTGACTTTTTTCTTACAAAAACATAACTTTCGTGACCTAAGAGCAATAAGAGCCTGTTCGTGTTAGGTATTGAAGAGATACACTCTTGTAGCTCTTGGGTCAAGATAAGTGTTTCCATATTGAACACAAGCAAAAGGGTGAATGGAAACAATTTCGAAAAGAAAAATAATCACGGAGAAACTAATTAATTAACCCATCTGTATATCTCATTATATTATCTAAGTACAGTTCTATGTGATTGTATTCTACATTGCCTCGATAAACTGACTACGAGAATCTTATGTAGATAGTTAGGTTTTAGGGAAAAGAGAAGTAATTTTGTTACAGACAGAACATGCTGTGTTCTATATATTATCTGGGGGTGTTCTTTGAGTCAAGAGACGCGTACATTCCAACCTATAGTCACGTCATTTCTGGCTCCAAGTAGATCATAGGAATGCAGTGAGTGTTTGTAGTATCATCCACATATTTCTTTTAGAGAAAGGAAAGAAAAAAGGCACACATACCCACAAGATTTGTTGAGGTCCTTCAGAGAACAATAAATGCTTGTTGTGTTAATTATTAACATCTGACCCCTAGTTTGAGAAGTAACCATTTTGTACGTGACACATAGCTCAGTATCGAGCTTGGATTTAAGTATAAAAGCAGCATTGTAATCGTTCGTAGTAGAACCATAGCTATAATATTGAGCAGGGGTATTTCTCCCTCGAGTAAATGTATGTATTGAGTCTACGCTGTTCCGGTGGGGATATCTGAACTGTTTGTATTTAGCTGATCTTTATACAGCCTTGTTTGTGTTTAACTGATTTTTAATAGTTTTGAATGGTATTCTGTATACGGCATGTCTGAATTATGCCTTCTCTTGTGCGATTGGTTCATTTATCTTTATTTGTTGTTTTTTGTGAGTCTTCTTTTTCTTTTGTTGTTCTGATAGTTTTTAAATAATATTGTTGTTAGTATTAACTTCCAGTGGATGTTTTAAGTGTAAGCTTATTTGTTTAGTATTCATTATTTACTGTTCCTATACAACAACAAAAAATACATATTATACATGAATTGGTTGTGTTTGTGTCTGTCTTGGTAGATGTTTTGATGACGTCACACTGTCTGGAGTTTCACAAGCTTGTTCTTCCCGATATTAATTAACGTCTGCTTAAGAAAGAAAAGGGTGACATTCTGTACAGCTTTAGCTGATCAGCTGTTCACCTTTGACCTATGAAGTAATCTGCTCTGTTTGTAAAAATGTTTGTCTGTTATTGTTGTTGGGTTTTTTTTTATTACGTGGTTTGATATTATGAAGGGAAAGAATAGAAGTACAACAAACACAAAATGACACCAATAAAAACCAGTACTGACGAAGCAGTGATGTACTATTATTGTGGAAACTTACCCTTTTCAAATGCTAAAAGATTTTAAAATCTCTCTGTACTCTTTATTAGCTCCGAATATTTCCTCCCTATCGTACCAAGCTTTCGTTTGGTAAAGGATAGAAATAGGTTAACCTCACCCGACTGTGAATACTGTTCAAAATTCGATATCACTGTTTGTTAACCAGCTGACATCATAATAGTATGTGTTTACTGACATTGTCAGCTGAAACGTGTGTTTAGTACTATTGGCAGTCGACACATGACGGGTTATCAAACAATGTCAACTGACATCAACCAACACCAGCAGTCAAAATCTTCAGACAGATATTGTTGGGGCAGACAAGTGACGCAATATTGCTCAAACTGCTTGTGACAACTCCATGTTTCAGGTGTGACCCTACACAGTGCGTGCGCCAGTTCATGAATTGTGAGAACAGCTGTTTTGTTTGTTTTTTTGTTTGTTTTTTTGTTTGTTTGTTTGTTGGTTGGTTGTTATGGGGGTGGGGATTTTTTTTGCCTCGTCCTTTGAAATTTCAGGACAAATTCTCACGACAAAATCGAATCGCTCTAACGAATCGCTCGAAATTCGAGTAAACAAACCGTGTCTATTGGATGATTAGACAAAAGCATTAGGGCGAGCTGGACGGAATGTACGTTTCCAGCTTCTATTTATCAGATCAGAGAGTGTTATTCGACCTCGATTTTCTACTCCCACCCGGTACAACGAAATCTCTCTCTCTCTCTTTCTCTCTCTCTCTCTCTCTCTCTCTCTCTCTCTCTCTCTCCCCTCTCTCTCTCTCTCTCTCTCTCTCTCTCTCTCTCTCTCTCTGTCTCTCTCTTTCTCTTCTCCAGGAATAATTTTTATCCTCTAGAACCCGGTTAAATCATGACCCTCTTCAGACTTCTGTCAAGTCAGTCCAATGAGGCACACTTATGTTTTAGACCGAAATACGAAACAAAACAAGAACAACAAGAAACATCAACAAAAAATGGGGTTCTTTAGTTTTAAAAAGTCAAAATAAATGAAACCAATACCGACTTTTCGTATTAGTTTTACACGGTTTTATGCACTCAAAAAATATGCTCTCGTTTATGAACATTGTCCGTTTTCCACCAAAAATATTGACGCTTTTACGTTAGAAAATGGGCACGTTCGAGCATGGAAACCGACACATCCACATAAGAAAATTCACACAATAAAATGTACAGGACTGGCAAGACATTCTGTTTCCATTATTTGGCTATGCGTGTGGTGGTGCTCGTTATACAACATTTTTTCCACTCAAATTGGCAAAGTTTACATCTATACTTCTAATATTTTAACTGCTTAATGTACCTGCTAACATTATTGCATCTATTTTTAGAACGTAGTCAAACGTGTATAAAGGAGATGTTAACTGGCATAAAGATTGCGAGTATGTGTGAATGTTTTGAGTCAAAGACCGGTAGATTTGCTTTGATGTACATGGATAATAGACATTATGGATATTTACCTTTTTTCCTGTTTTTGTGGGGTTCCCAGTGACGCGATGATATTTTAAAAAAAAACCACACCAATATTTCACTATCTGAGATAATACTTCAACCCCGGGCACACACAACTACTATTTGATTTGTTTAACAGACAAACATGTAATCGGGAAAGAAAAACAAAACAAAACGAAAACTGAAAAGGTATTCAAAAGATAAAGAAAAACAAAAAACAAAATTGAATTCGGTCAAAGTATTATCACATCTTGTGCAAGTAAAACGATGGTGCTATATAACTATATCGATTGGTACTCATAAGTTTTAGCAAAGAAAGAGTCAAAACATAAATGGCATAGTGTGTACACTGCAATACTCTCTTACATATTGAACCATCAGTGCCAATTACTCACTATTTCCTACTGAGGAATCTATTCTGCTGATTGTAAGCTCACAACCTACTCCAATGCTTGTACCACCTTCAGTTTTTTAATGGTTTTTTATTTTATTTAGCCTACAACAGCAACATTACTAGAATTAGGAATTATGTTGCATACGTTCGGTGCCATTATGATCAATGTTACAAGTTCCATCATAATATGGCAGTGGAATGAAACACGATGCGGTTTTTTTTCTTAAGAATAACGACCAATGTGTTTTGTAGGAATAACGTACGGTGTGTTGTTGGAAATCGTCATCGTCGCAATGATCTAATTGATGTTGTGACCGACCATCGTCAAACCTCGGTGTACCTGCACTAAACTTAGGAGTCACTGCACTACGCTCAGCAGTAACTGTTCCCCCCACCCGTTGACCTCTCTGTACACATATACCCTTACCCCCATAAATACCTATTGAAGTTGTATACTGTATCTAGCAATTTTTATGCTTTTTTAATAAAAGGCCTTATCTACAACCTAGACTCGATCGTTTGTATTGTTATGTTTTTCCCTATATCTATATTAACTTGGTGGCCCAGTGGATAAGCTCTGGGACTCACAACCATGAGATCGTGGGCTTGAATTCCTTAAGGGGTCCGACGTTATGTCATTGGAAAAGGCACTTCACATGAACTTTCCTTACTTCACCCGGATGGGAATGGGTACCCGGCTATACACAGCAGAAGATTTTGTCAGGTTTTTTTGGGGTGTCTCAGCGCGTGCAATCCGCAGTTTTCACAGTATGCTTCCCGGGAACCCGAGAAAGCTTCTGGGTTTTCTTCCAGGGTCTTCTGTGGAAATCTTAGTTGTAGAGCGCATAGAGCATGCTGTACAGCGTGGATATGCGCTACATAACTGCAATGTTTATTATAACTCTTTAAGGACGTAAGGGACACATAAACGTCCTATCTGTGGCAGATCAAAGGCAATGTTGCAGCAAATGTTTAACCACCATCAATCAGAAACGTGAATATGCATTTTATTTCATAGTGCATGTTATTGTATTTATGTTTCAGCCAAGGACTACTATACTCCTACTACTGAGTATAGTAGTCCTTGGTTTCAGCTTTAAAAAAATATGAAATCTAAAAAAATCTGTTAAAATGGCGAATTCAATTGTTAATGGGTTTGTTTGTTAATGTTTTGGTCTAATAATAATAAATAATAGATAGCATTTGTATAGCGCATATCCCCGCTCAACAGCAGGCTCTATGCGCTTTACACTATATTATTACCCCAGCAGACCATAGTACACTCCGAAACATTCTCAGCTTCCCGGGAAGCATACAGTGCGAGCAGCCGATTAAGCGCTCAAACACTAACAAACTGACAAGATCTTTCGCTGTCTATAGCCGGGTACCCATTCCCACCTGGGTGAAGTGAGGAAAATTCGTGTAAAGTGCCTTTCCCAAGGACACAACGTCGGGCCCTTGACGGGATTCGAACCCACGACCTTACGGTTGCGAGTCCGAGAGCCTAATCACTAGGCCACCGACGCCACTTATTGGGCGATGACCTCGGCAGTCTAGTCGCTATCTTCGGATTGCAAAGCTCTATTAGACATTTTTTGCCGTTTTGAGTTACTAAGACCATGAGGTCAGAATCCAGTATAATAATATTCTATCTGCTCTATCAAACTCGAAGGATTATTCAGAGTTGTTTTCAAGATATTTTTAAAAATGCATTTAAAAAAGCTTCACATGTTTTGAAACTCAAAATCTTGGAGGTCTAAGTTCTCAAAAACTAGGTGTAAAGCAGACAGAAATATGAAATTATGAGGTAGCGTAGTGGTTAGGCTACAGGATCCGTAATCTCGAGATTGCAGGTTCAGGGGTTAGCGTCACAGCTCGGTCCGACTTTATGATGTGTACAACAAATTGTCATCGTCTGCTGTTATCTTGACGCTTAACTGCAATGACTTTCGGAAGTCAAATCCTACATAAGACAGGCGTATATTTCTCATGAAGTTGTACAATGGTTGTCTGCTAAAAGACTACAGATCTGTTTGTTTGTCTGTTTGAGTAAACAGAAATACAGTGTCACAATAATGGTCATTTAGTGCTGTGAAAAAGTAAGACAGACATACGAAAGAGGGAAAGTAAAGAAATAGGACCTGCCTGTGGCACCCTCTAACCACCCGCATGCCGCAACTGTCCTAAAACAGGAACATCTGTACAGGGATAAAAAAAAATAGTTCTAGTCCACTCAGCGGTCTTCCTGGGTGACCGCGGTCTGTCTTTCTTAATTCAATTTGTTCGGATTAGGATTAGAACTGGGGCGCGGTATGCTGAATGACTTGATATATAGTTGAAAGGGGCTTTTCAAAAATGTAATTACTTATTAGGTAATAAAGGGATTGACAGGGCACCAAACTGTTATAAAGGAAGCATACGAAGACATGATGTGGGACAGAGGGGCAAGGACGGACAAAGAAGAACGGGGATTGATAACATCAAGACATGGACTGGCCTAAGCATGACAGAGTATACAGCGGCAGCTAGCACTCGTATTCACTGGCGGGTAATTGCATGTCAACCTCTGAGCCAGAGATGATACCTCCAGGATTTCAGGTATCTAAGGCAACATAATGAAGTACTAACTTGAAGAGGACGATTTCAGAACGCCGAATCGACGTTCAACACAAAGTGACCCTAAGTTATTATGTGTTATTGTTTTTTAATTGAAAATCGAAAAAAAGCCAAAGTTTATTCGGAAATTAAGAACACAAAGTTTTTAGATATGTGCTCGTTATGCAATTGAACGATTTATGGAAGGAAGAAGTATAATTCCATTGCTTAAGATAAGGGTGGGAGAAAGAAAGAAGGAGAGAGAGAGAGAGAGAGAGAGAGAGAGA